GAAGACGAGGAGGCGGAGTCCTATGTAACTAAGGATGAGAAGGCTGCGCTGGCCGCCGAGCTAGCAGCCATGACAGACCCGATGGAACGAAGAGAGAGGGAGGAGGAACAAAAGTTAGCATGGAAGCTGAGGATGAAGAGAGAGAAGAAGAAGAGGAGAGAGGAAGTGAACAAGATGACCGCAGAGGTGGCAAAGGTGCAGGAGTGTAGAGCGGAGGTGCTGGCCCAACCAGACGATAAGGCCACGTGGGACAAAGTACTGGGGTATCTGGAGGTGTTGAGCAAGGCCTGGATGGAGAAGCGCTAGGCAAGCTGGAGCCAGGATGTAGCGATGAGTGCCCTGCGGTCAGGGTTCAGAGATTTCGCTCGCGTATTCGTCACCCATATTGGGGGCGAAGTGAAGCAATTGAAAGATAATGTAGGGAAGTTTTGTGAGGGCGCCATTCAGGGTGCCAAAGCAGTAGCCGCTGTAGAGGGAGAGGCCAGACCCCGTAAGGATCCAGTGAAACTCAAGTTCCCAGATGCGTACGGGGGGAAGAAGGAAGAAAACTTTGACAACTGGGAAGCCAGTGTCAATAGTTATATTTATTTGCAGCATATCTTGGTCGAGGAACAAGTCCTTGTGGCCTTCCAGGCCCTCAAAGATGAAGCGGCTAGTTTTGCCAGGTCTCTTGCGCGTACAGCCGGTTGTGAAAACAACCTGGTTGCGTATTCCAAAGTTACTCCTCTTTCTCAATTCCTGAAGCTCCTCAAGGAGCGGTTCGCTGACCCAACGCGAGGCATTAGAGCCTCTGATAAGCTCCAAACGATCCACTCGCGCAGTGGAGGAGTGCTAAGGCACTCAAGAGTACAATGGACGACTTGGTAGCCGTCCCTGACCACGGGGTCACCGAGCCCCAGTTGGTCAAGTTGTTTTATCGTGCCATCCCAGAGGCCCTACGACTACATTTCTTTGACAAGTCTCAGCAGGCCGACATCACATATGATCAATTGAGTAAGGAGGTCGTCCTGTATGAGTCAAAGTCTATGCCAGTTACCACTTTCTGGCATAAGGACCTGGAGAAGGGGAAGAAGTAGAAAAATCGTACTATCTCATGCCAAGTAAAGGTCAAGGATCACATGATCCTGACGTTAGAGGAAGGTGGTACTGATGAGGTCCCGTATGATCAGATTGAGTGGGGCCTCGAAGATGATGGCAGTAGTGTGGGGCAGGGGAGGTCTTACGCTGCTGTCGCGGCCGGAGGGAGGCCGCAAGGTAGAGGAGGAGGCCAGGGCCAAAGGGGCCAGGCCATGGGAGGCCGAGGACCGGGCGCACAGGGGGTTGGCGGACACGGAAACCGCCAAGCGGGAGGTAGGGGTCAAGGTCCCCCGTTAAATCGCCAGGGTAACCGGTCCCCACAACGAGGAGGTGGAAAGGCGCCTCAAGGAGGATGGCACCCAGGCTTGCCGCAAGGCAGGCCCTGGGAAGATCTGGGCTTGGACCAGCGCTTATGGCAGGAACGCGTGAACATGGGTTAGTGCGTATTCTGTGGTGACCCGGCCCACGTTATCAAATTTTGTCCAAAGCATAGACAGGCCCGTTGGGCTGCCCACCAGTCAAAAGGCAGCCGCCAGTAGGGGTCGCAACTGCCCCTACTTCAAGGCCATGTGGAGAACTGAGCGCGCGCGAACAGGCCACTCCCAACCAACATGAGCTTATGGCAGAGGTTGCAGGCTCGTGCCTAGATAGCTGTCCAGAGACTGCTTGTGTTAGCGTCTCTTTTGCACGTCCCTCACAGGTGTGGCAGAAGAATTAAAGGAGA